AGACACTGATGGGGACATTATCACCCTCTCCTCTGATGAAGAGGTGACCACAGCTATAGCTGAGATACCCTCGGGCGGAGTCTGGAGGTTGGCAGCTCGTTTGGTCGAACCTCCTTCCAGTTCTTCCTCAGAAGGTCGAAAGGAGACACACCCACTTTTAGATCTATTTGAAGCACTATTGAATCCACTTCAGAGCGTACTTGATAAAGAAGAGAACAGGAGCAGAGAAGAGAAGAAAGAAGGAGAGGAGGAGGAGACTAAACAAGAGGAAACAACTGGAGAAGAAGGAGCCAGTCCCAATGAAGAAGGAGTCAGTCCCAATGAAGAAGGAGTCACTGCTGAAGGGAGTGAGACAGTAAAGGAAGATGAAACTAAAGAAGAGAAAGTCAAATCAAAACCCAAGAAAGACCAAGGTCCAGTCTGGACTACCTATGAGATAAGAATGGGTCCATCTCATAATAAATACTGTCAATGTCACAGGCACTTGCTGAGGCCACAACCATCACTCTTCAGTCTTCCCTCTTCACTCCTTTTTGAACCACCTTGTCTGGTTTTTTGAACGCGTCTGACCAGTTACTAAAACTCATTTCAAACTTTTAACATTATCATGTATTGTTGATATCAATTTATTCAATTTATTAATATTTACTAGTAATTATTGTTGTTGTGTTTAAAGTGTTTCATTGTTATCCCTTTCAATGATATTTTAAACCTTACAAAGTTAACTTTTGTTTTGTGTCATAGCAAAATAAATTTAGTGCCAGCCAATGCCATAATTATCATCATTTACAAAAAGCCAACATGAAATTAATTCACTATATTGTAGTAGTTGTACAGAGATTCATACAGGATTTATTGTAGGGGAGGGACACAACGAAAATTAACGGTAACATCGCATATTTTTGGGGGGATTTTTTGCCTGTGGAGGCATAAACTATTATACACGTGATTGCTAGTTTATTTCAATTGTGTAATGAACAACAGTGAAACATAGTAAGTATTAAATCATTTGTTAAAGTTACTCAGACTAATTAGGGGGGAAACTTAGAGTAGGGGGATTTCCTTCCCTCCTGTATGACATCCTGCTGTATGTACATGTACATGTATTGTACTTAGTAAGTACTACTGTAATTGTGAGTATGTACATGTACATGTACATTAGTTAAATCATCAATGTCTGTGTATGTCGCAAGTCACAACTGTATGGTCACAGAATGTATATTTCATCGGAATGTATACACAGAAAATATGAATTATGTGATACTTAATATGTCCTCTTCTATTCCTCATAGTCACTAGTTTACTAACAGTGTTTGTGGTCTGTTAGTCAATTTTCGTTATTTACTAACATACATTGATTTAATTATTGTGATGCTGGCCGCACCCTTTCCTGTTACCCTTCCTATTAGCTAGTGTCACTTATCAACACGTCTTATACCTTTCTTTACTACACGTCATCATTAATGATGTCATCTTGGAAAAACGAGCCATTTTTTCAAGATGACGTCCTTCCGTCAATGTGTCCCTGTAAATCATCAATGCCTATGTACAGTCAAACCTCTCTAAGACGGACACCTATGGGCCAGCCATCACTGTCCTTTATACAGAGTTGTCCTTAAATTGGAGGTTATCCCATGCTAATTAGACCAAAAAATCCGCCATTTTCTTGATGCACTTTAATTAGAAAGTCCGTTACGTGGACCGTATCCGTCCGTTGGAGGTTAATTTGTACACGTGTAGATGTGTGGGAACAGTAAATCTTGTTCGTTATACAGAATAGAGAGGTTCCGCTATACAGAGGTTCTTTTATACACTACCCAATGGCCTTATGGCCGGGACAAGAGCAACTGTACGTTATAGAGAGGTGTCCGCTAATTGGGGGTTTGTTTTAGAGAGGTTTGACTGTATGTCACAACTATTATAGTCACAGAAAACGTCATTAGAATGCATACATAGAAAGTATGAATTATGTGATACTTAATATGCCCTGTTTTATTACATTTTACTAACATTGTTTGTGGTTAGTCTGTGAATGTCTTTTATCTACTAATGCATATTGATTTAATTATCGTGATTCTGGCCGCACCCTTTCCTGTTACCCTTCCTATTAGCTAGCGTCACCTATCAACGCGTCTTGTACCACTCTTTGTTTGCTTAAGTGTCTATTGAACCTTTAAAGGTAGTGTCAATTTGTAAATCTTCAATCCTATGAATTTCAGTGAAGTACAGTAGCAAACGATGCATAACTTGAGTTATAGTTAATTTACTCTTTATAACATCATAACTGAAATTCACAACTCTTGTGTTGTATACCATACATTTACAGGAGAAACTATGATGTTTTGACTAAGAGGATATTGCCTGCACAGGTTTTGTAGTTATAATGTAGTAGTAGGCTATTGCCCACACTTTTTATTAGTTTATGATGCACCTTGTGGCACTTATTATTTTAAGGCTGGTTATGGTAACATTTCTGTCCTGTGATAACAGTCCTGTTTTTGTTAATGAAACTTATGAAAATTATGTGTTATTTTCAGTGTTTATGCATACGTGTATCTCAGTGGCAGTAGCTAATGGTATGTATCCTCCTGACGTCATGTAGCCTATCTTTTTTATCATGTCCCTTATGTGTTAACTCGTGTCACCAACTAGTCAACACAATGGTCAACTTGTGTTTATACTAATTCTCTCACTGTTAGATTTAGGAGGGAGTTTTGATCTCTCATATTTGGCCTACGTGTACATGTAGGTCTACTGAAATCTCCCATTTGTTAACTTTTGGTCTTTCACCTAGGTTAAACTCCCAAATTTTATTTCTAGATGCTAACAATGCTGTAACGTGATGGCTCATAATGTGGATATCTGTTAGTGGACTAGTGATAAATTTTATTCCCACTTGGATGCTTCTTTGTTGTGCGCTTTTATTGATTCCAACTTCTTTAGAATTTCATCTAAACTGTAAACTCAGTTAGAGTCATTTTCTTTGAAGTATAAGTTTTCTCATGGGATATTAAGTTAATAATAATTACCATTAAAACCACTAAAAGCTGAAAATAAAATTAATTTGTATATGTACACTCATAATTATATACACATATTTATATTATATAATGAGACTCACTCAGTTAGTGTCTGTATGTGCCTGTGAAACTGATCATACCACATGTTTGTCAATCTCTGATTCTCCGTTAAGAAACTGGCAGTTCGTTGAGTGGATGGTATCTCTCCTTGTTTCTGTTGGAGATGGCAGCTCGGTCGTCGCCGTTCTTTCCTGTTGCACTAAGGTGGATGCACGTAGCTTTACGATCCCGATCTTTATAAAAAGACTGTGAACAAAGTTCCGAACCTCGTACCTGAAATACGACTGGGCTAAAGGGCTCAGATTAGTCATTAGTAGTAGCATGAAGAACGCTGCGGCGTACCACGGAGGGGAGATGGTAAAAAACGGCCCAAAAACTGCTAGACTTAGCATGAGACTGTAACAGAGTATGTGTATTACGACAAGCGTCCCAAAGAGTCCGATGAGTTTTCTCTTCTGAGACAAGTACACGCTGTTTCTCGCTGTTTTTCTTGAGTTCCTTCTCCTCAGGAAATTTCTCGTGTAACAGAAAGTCCACGTGGACGAGATCACTATGATACCCCCTAGACTCAGTAGTATGAGAAAGAGATATATGGAGAACCCCAGCTGGCCCTCAAAGCCAGGGACACAGATCCCGTAACTCTCGGCAAACTCAAAGCTCCCCAGCCCATAAAAGGGCGGAGTGCTCAGTATGGCTGCTAACAGCCAAGAGAGCAGGACAATGAGAAGAGCTTTCTTGGTAGACATGTACTTGTGATACTCCATCGACTTGACAATAAAGAAGAGCCTGTCTAGAGATATTAGTGTTAGGCTCTCTGTCTCCACGATTAGGTTGTAGAGGAATATGTATGCAGTGGCTTGGCAGGTCTTTAGCTTTTGAGCATCAGTGGCACCAGTTATCCACTCACCAGTGGCACAAGTCACAACACAGAGTGGCATGAGAAATACAGAGATTAGAAGATTGCTGAGTAGCATGTTGGTTAGGAATATGTTTGATGGCTGTTTCCAAGCCTTGAAGTGACAGAGGGTCAGTAGGAGTACAAATGAGTTTGTGAGAAGTGCTACTACTGTTACTATCCCTATTGCTCCAGCTAGTAGAGGCCCATTGATCTCATCACTGAGAGTGAAGTTGGCATTCTCCATGTTTCCTGGATTTTATGTCTTCTTTGACTTTTCCTGTGTAGAAAGTTGTTTTTAGTACAAACATAGAATTGGCTAACAGAATAAAACAAACATTATCATACATTAAATTTGAGTGGGGGGTGGGTAGCTTAATGGCCCTAGCATTTTTAATATTAGGATGCTGCTTTGCTATGATAAATGTAACTCTGTAAGTTTTGAAAAACAAGAACCACTCACTCTACACAGCTACACTAATCCAGTCTTTTATGAAACTCAATGTCCCATGGTTTGACCCTTTACTTCTACTTAAGAAACCATTTAAAAACTTTAGCCTTACCAGCTGCAGCAGAAAAGGTTGCTATTTCATCCAAATTGATAAAGAACAGCTACTTTATTTACAAAGTGCCACCTCAAACTGCCATATTGAGTTGCTATGTCACACCCATCCCTCAATGAATATATTCCTTGTGGTCTATGAATTTACTCTTTCACAACAACAAGGCTGTCTAACAGGATGTCAACTCTCATCTTCTGCCAAGAAAATTAGAGCATTTTCCCAAAACTTACTGCCTGCAAAAAACAATTTAGTTATTGTAATAGACTAATAGTATCAAGTCTCAACTGTGTTGTTGTTTTATGTATATTATTTGTCTTTCATTATCTATTGTTTTTCATTTTAGGCTCCCAAAGATCATCAGATTTTCGATGATCCTTGTAAGGACTTGCGCTACAAGGAGCCAAGCATTGATTCAATGAGATCCCAAAAGGATGAGGTACATTAATGAAGGAGAACAAGAAAACATTGTTTTTTATATTTATATTTTTGCAGGAGCTTGAACGGTATAAGAAAGAGTGTGAGAGAAAAGCTAGGCAGAGGGAACAAGCTAAAATAAACTCCACCGGAAAGAGATCATCATAATTGAAAGCTTTGGGACTATTGTCTCAACTTGCTTCTATTGTACTACATTTACATCACTTACTTTTTAAAATTATTTTACTGCTCAACAAACTCTGAAATAAGAACATTATATTTTTTAATGATAATAAAAAATAATGTTTAAATTAAAATTTAGAAAATAAACTACACGTGTAATGTACAACTTATGAATAAATAAAATAATAATATATAATAAATTTTGTGGTCTAAAAATTTGTTGTATCTTCTATTGGTACAAATACAGGATTGTTGAGGGCTATGATCAGTTTATCCTCAGGAGGCTCAGAGGGAATGGAGAGAAGAGGATTATCGACAATATCCTGTACAATCCCAACCAAACTCTGACCAGTCGAATCAGTGGAGAATAATAAATCAGGATTAGAGTACGGGAGAGAATGACGCTCCATTAGCCACTGGTCTATCACAAGTAGTAACTCACTAAAAATAGAATTAGATTCATCAAAACATTGTCAGAATGGAGATTTCTCTCCTAGCAATTTTTGTTAACATACCCTGTATAAAGATTTTAAGCACAGAATTGCATTATTACAATAATATTATTCTTATGCCAATGCTGTACACAGCCCATGGTCTTTGACCAAAATTTGGAAGAGCTTTAAAGTTATTTGTAGAAAATCCAATTTTGTTTGGAATTAAGTTTCTATACAGCATAAAATGTACATGTAAAATTACCAAAATAGGGAAATTTCCCCTTTTCAATTTTGGCGAAATTTGGCCCAACACCCTGTACTATAGTACAGGGACTTTCGCCCAATTTTGGAGCAAATTTAAAAATTCATAAAAAATCTAATTTTAATTGGAACCAGCTCAAACTTCTTACACAACATAAGTACAGGTATATGCATCAGATAAAATTATAAAAATGAAGAATTCTCTCCTTTTCAATTTTGGCGAAATTTGGCCCAACACCCTGTACTATAGTACAGGGACTTTCGCCCAATTTTGGAGCAAATTTAAAAATTCATAAAAAGTATAATTTTAATTGGAACCAGCTCAAACTTCTTAAACAACATAAGTACAAGTATATGCATCAGATAAAATTATAAAAATGAAGAATTCTCTCCTTTTCAATTTTGGCAAAAATTAGCCCGAGACTTTGTACTATTATAGTATAGGCTGTCAAGCTTTGGTCCAATTCTTGAGCAAATTAAAAATGCATTAAAAATTAATTTTGATTAAAATCAACTCAAAATTTATATTGGACAAAATAGTACAGCGTATTTTATAGCCTTTTCATGCATTGTCACTAAAACATACTAACACAACCTTTAAATATACCGTACGGGTATAAAATTTCGTGGGGTATTAAATTTCGCGGATTTTGTGGGTGACTTCTCAACCACAAAAATTAATACCATGGAAATGCTCACTGCACATGCGCAGCACATGAAAATCAATGACTTAATGCAAGCGCACATGCAAAAACGTGAAATTTAACCCCCTAGAAATTAAAGAATTAAGAGATTTTCACTAAAATACTAAATTTTATACCCTCGAAAATTTTCTACCCATACGGTATATCATTAGTATTAACTCTTATAAAAGTGACAAATCTTACCGGTGTGAGCCAAGTAGCTGAGGCGTTTGAATGAGCGAAAACATGTCAATAAAACGAATGCCTCCAACATTAGCTTCTATTTAAAAACAGTTCATAAAAGTAGCAAATTAAGTTAATTACCACAACCCCATCTCTCACCTGTACTAATGGTAGGGACTATGTACATTATACTAATGCGGTCTTTGCTACTCAGTGTAGCGAGAGAATGAACCGACAGCGCTGAGATTTGATGCTCTTCCTTTAGGCGAGAGCTTACTAATAACTTAAAGTTCTCTTCGTTGCTTCTTATTTGATAAGAAGGAAGACTATGAGTGTTGACTGAAGGGATCAACCCAATCTATTCAAAATAATACAATAGTTAAAATCTTTTGTGCCCTAACAGGAAGCTACTCGTGTAAGTTGTAGTATTATACCTCGTAGTTTTTAGGGTTATAGAGTCTGCTTCTTTCTATTCTCCTCACAGGAACGTAGAGCAACTCAAACCGTAGAGTAGCAGCCATAGCTTCTCCTAGATCCTGCAGAATTGAGCCACACCCTTTTGCAAAATAAGTTTCCGGAGATAAACGGAAATTGTCAATAAAACCATGCAATAAAAACAAATCCAAGAAATGCAATGAGAATCACAAATATCACAACATACACTATTCTATTCAGTATCTTAAATTTCCTATAAAGTATCTTATGATCAGAACTCAACCTTTTAAAATTTTTCTCTAATTGTGCATGACTCCTTTTTAAATCTTCATGCATAAAATTCAAGGAATCGTGTCCAGATTTCAAAGAGTTGTATTTCTTCTCTAATGATCCTAAACTTTCTCTAAACTCATCTTGAGATCTCTTTAAGTTATCGGTAATCCTTTGGTAAGCAGTAACTAGTATACCGTGATGAGGGGTAGAGAGATGTGTCTCTAATTTGTTTCTCTTTGGCTTTTCACTGCACCCTAATGGCTTGTATATGCAATTGACTGGTGACAATGGGCAGTCACGCTCTAAATGATGATTAACTTGAGAGCGAGGGAAATTTGGTGTGTCACAGTATAGAGGACAACGAATAGGATACAGGTGGCATACAGAGTGATGCATATTATGAATATAGTTAAATGTTCCTTTAAGCCCACAGTATTTGCAATCATAAGGTCGTTCAATGCAATCCTCAGTAGTGTGCTTAGTAAGATCAGAACGACACACTTTAACCCCACATCCAAGGTGAGGACACGTCACGTCCACATAAGGGCAGTCCTTGTCAAGATGTTGCACCAGGTCTCTTAACTCTCCTTCCCAATTGCAGCCTGGTACACTGTCACTGTCATCATCGTTAATTATGGTAGCCTTATTTGTGCAGTATATAACTTGAGCTCCAAGTATACGGTCGTGACTCTTGTCCCTCACTAGATTAAATCTGGTACCCATTGATTTGCATATTGGGCAGGAGTAGGACTTATTTCTTTTGGAGGATTTGCCAGTCCATAGTGGCCTGAGTTTCATTGAGCAGTTTCCACAGAAGTGTCTACCACAGCACTCGGAAAGGTAGGGCTCTTGTATCAATATCTCAAAACACACTGGGCATTCCAAATCAAAATTCTCTGGCAGTTCTTTCTGAAACTGTATATCTCCTTTTGTAACAGGCAATTGCAAGCGAGCTGACAAGCTGTTGGCAGCCATCTTCGGGCCTTGATCACGTGACAAGAGTAAGGCTCAGGCTATAGCTGTGAGCGCGCCCAGCCTTTCTTCTTCACATAGATATTCATGATGATATCGATATCCTAGATTATCGCGTGTGTCTCTGATACCACGGCAAGGCATATGGCTTCAAATGAGGAGCTGCAAACCGACCCTACTGCTCTTACTTTATATAAAGACGACATAGAATTCAAAAAAGAAATCCCCAAAGATTTAAATATTGACTGCTCAATATGTCTTGCTGTGATATTGGACTCTCCATCTCAAGCCAGTTGCTGTGGACAACACTTCTGTGGCCCATGCATTGGAAAGGTGAATGCTTGTCCACAATGCCGAGCAGTTGGAGATAAATTCAAGGTTTTCAAAGACACAGATTTTGAACGTAGAGTTGGTTCACTCGAGGTTTACTGTCTAATGAATTGGGATAGTGATGATAGCTGCGATTGGAGCGGTGAACTGCGACACTTGCAAAGGCACCTGGATGATTCCTGCCCATATGTCGAAGTGCCTTGTCCAAATCATGGTTGTAATAAATCTGGGCTTTTACGTTGTGATTTGAAAGAGCACGTTAAAAAGTATTGTCCCATGAGGCCATACAAGTGTCGACATTGTGATTTCCGAGACACTCATAAATTTGTGACAGAAATTCATTACGATATCTGTCCTCTTTTTCCTGTCTGTTGCCCATTGAATTGCTCGAAAGGAAAAACTTTTCCTCGTAACGAGATTGAGGATCATATAAAAAGAGATTGTCCATTACAGCCTGTGGAGTGCACGTATAGTTGGCTTGGCTGTGAAGAAAAACCAGCAAGAAGAGATCTCAACCGTCATTGCTCTAAGCAGCATAAATACATACTTTCAGATGTATGTAAAGAACTCTGTCATGAGTCACAAAAAATGGCAGATGGTCTGAATGCTAATGAAACCCATTTAGAGCATTACAAGACTGAGCAAGGCCGTGTAGATGAAAAAGTGTCACAGCTTGAGAAAAAAGTCACCTTACTTGAGCAACAACTGAAAACAAATGAAAAATCTCACAACGAAAGAACTCGACATCTTGAACAGGCTGTCACTGAAATGAATAGAGAACTTCAGCAGAAAATCCGTGCCTTGGATAGAGAGCGTGCCAATTTACAGTCTTCCTGTAATAAGTTAGAATTGGTGTTATTGGTTATGTTTATAGTGTTAGTTATTTTAGTGTTAGTTATAGTGTTAAGTAATGTATTCTTGTTGTTGATTATTGTTGTAGCGTGTTTTATTTACTATTATCATAAGGATCTTATATTTTTATTGATTTTGCTTCATATATACAATAGTTAGATTACAATATGATTCATTTATGACTTTTCTACCTCTCACTATAGTGTGTGCCTCACTTTATTATAAAAATTTAATTTTATTAATATTGTTATAAGTTAATAACAAACAGCTGAATAAGCCCAATTGATGTCACAGTTGGTAAGCACTAAAATCTGTAGTTTCATCTTTTATCGGCTTGTTATTCTTATAGTAACTCTAGTAGTACTGAAAAACAGCTAGCAGCATTTAAAATTCAGTACGTAATGTTGAATATAAACTTTACAAAATGAATCAATTATTTTGTGGGTGTGTCTGGAGGTGAGTATCAGTATTCTACCATGCCTAGTTGCAATTGACCAATCAGATTGCTTGATTTTAAAAGCAAAGCATTCATGAGACATAAGTGAGAACAAAAGTGAAACATGCAAACATTAGTAGAAAAATTTATTTAGTCTAGTAATTAATATTTATAAAAATTAATTATTATTAACCTCTGTAGTATTAAGAAGACGGAGAAATATCAATTTTTTCGGCACAAGAGCTTTCCCCAATTTTTTCAATTGCAGTCTTCAGCGAGGACCAAATGGGTCCACCTTTCTCAGTAACTTTATCTCTCTTGTTCACCCACAGTGACAAACATTCAGTCAAACATTCAGCTGTCTTTCCCCGACAGTTAGCTTCAATATCATCAAGTGTGTGCTTGTAAAGGCCCAGCTGTAATCCTAAGAGACTCCACTTGTGCGTTGGGAAATGAATCCTTGTCATTGTCTCCATTAATACATCTAGATCTCTGTAATCCAGTTCATCTTTGTTAGATTTCTTTATTTCTTTACTTGTTTCTTCTATTATAAACAGATCCAGGTTCCATTATTGTGATAGGAACATATATACATATATACATACCTTTTTCTATCGTGTTTGTTTCGTCACCAGTTAATTCTCTTTTCATGCTTCTTCCCAGCCCTTTAAGTGTTTGATCCTCATGTTTAAGAAGAGCATTACAAATACGAAGAAGGAATTGCTTAGGATCAGCTGTCAAACGAGACTTTAACTGTCTATAAAGTTCCCTTACTACAGAGCTCCCTTTCTGATACTCACTGGATGGTCTACTAGTCACATCACTGACGAAAGATTCTGACAATAGCCCATCACTGTGCAACCTGTCCAACAGCCGATCAAAATTGAATGATTTTCCAATATTCTCACTAAGGTCTGGGATATTTCTAAGAAATATTTCCGCTGGACTAATTTCAGTTGCACCTAATGGAAAAATAATGTTTCATGACAATGCTACACTTCCTTTCAGACATTAATATTACAATCATGTTATTCAGTCTTACCTGCCATTTTGAAAACAGTGGTTGCCAGGAAATGGAATTTTATCATAACTATGACTTTATTCACTGCACTGCCTACAATTAATGAATACCTTAATAGATCTGTAAAGATAAGAGAACTAAAGTAAACAAACTATACACCAATAGATCTATTAGAGGACAGTAATTACAAATTTACAATACAATCTAGACTTTATAATGTAGCACATGCACTCATGCAGTTATGTTATGCATGTACATATCTGCACTGACAAAATTAGTTCTAGTTATAGATAAATTTTAAACAGAAATAATGAGAACACTTTAATTTCATTACCACAGCAGTTTATAAAAATAGCTCAATAAACAACAAGTCGATTATTGTAATAATCACAAATGTACAAAAATCCTTCTTTGTCAAACGTCAATCCTTTGGGACTATTAAACTCGTCAATACTGCTGCCTTCTCTTCCAAAGCTGCTCACAAAAAGGCCCTCATTGGTAAAGACTGAAATACGATGATTGTTCCATTCACTAACATACACTAGGCCAGTAGCTGTATTATCGATTGTAATACCTATTGGACTGTTAAGCTGTCCAGGACCAGACCCTTCATTACCAAATAAAGCTACAAATGCCCCATCTGGAGTGAAATATTGAACACGATGATTCACCCAATCTGTAACATACACGAATCCTTGATTGTCAATGGCAATGTCTCGTGGATACAGAAACTGCCCATTTGCTGAGCCCTTACTACCAAAGAAATGAGAAAAGGTCAAATCAGGATTCAAGACTTGTATATGGTGATTGCCACTATCAGCAACATACACCTGTCCTGTTATAGGAGAAATAGCAATACCAACAGGATACTTAAACTGAAGTGGTTCTGTACCCTCTTCACCTACCGATGCTAAACAGTCTCCATCTATGTTTATCTTCTGGATCCTGTGACTATCAGACACTAGAATAAATTTGTCAGACGTAAAAGCAACTCCATGAGGAGAAAGAAACTTAACATTACCAGTTCCTTCTGTCCCTCCAAATGACTTCACTTTCATTCCTTCTCTATCCATTATTGTAACACGGTCCCCAAGACTTTCACTTACCATCAGATATCCATCATCACTTACAGCAACTCTCCAGGGATAATTAAGCTCGTCGATGGTACGTACTGGAATGATGTTATCAAGGTAAGGATTGAAAGGGATGACCAGGGATGTGCCTTCAAGCTGTACATCATACACTTGAATTTTAACCCTATGAGTATCGTGTGAAGAAGGGTTGCATAGTATTTTGTATACTCCAGAATGAGTACTAGTGGCAATGACTGTAGCATCGATTGGCTCATTGCCATTTCCAACTGGTACTAGGCTACACCTCAGAGAAGAGTGGGGAACTGATAGAAGAGATGAATCTGGTGCCTCCATGATTAGTGAAAATGAAACCTTTCTCTCCTTTGGAAGATGCTCAAAGCAATCTATCTTTTTTACTCTGCATTGCTGTATAGTGCAGTTCCTGAAATTATATCTCCAATGTGTCGAAGTGATCTGACGTCTTTGCTTAAAACGATGTCTGCTTCAACTTTAGGTAGTAAATCTTCAGCACTAATCAGTGTAGTAATCTCATTCATATGCTTTTTCATTTGTTCCTTAGAGCTTAAGATTTGAGGCGGAGTACCTGTCTTCAGACTCTTTTCCACATAATTCTCAACTTGTTCCAGATGCTCTAAACTTAACTGACCAGCCTGCTTCTGCTGTGTGTCACAGCTCGCAAGAATTTTTCAAAATATTTTACTTAGAGACTAGCTGAATAACAAAGAACTCTCTTTCAAATAAGGCCAACTGGCTTTATATATGCACAAATTATTAATAATTAGTTAATTAATTAATATACATTAATGGTAATAATCCAGTTTCTATACAGTTCCATGACACTGTGATAGTACCTTTAGTTTGGTACTTGTCACTCTCTTTGCTTGGTCGGTTAATTTCCTCTCCGACTGATGAAGATCCCCTATCATTTCCTCAACCATTTCATGTATCTCCTCTAACACTCTTTCTCCTCTCTCCCCAACATCAATTTCTCTCTTGGTCAAAATAGAAAGCATGTTTTTGACGGTTGAAATTTTTTCTTTAACAGGAACAAGAAGTTGTTCTAAATCCTCATAGTGCTTAGTATAGCTATCAGCCATTAGCTTATACTCATGGCCTTTATGAGTGAGTATAGCACAATCCCTACATATGGTGTTGTCACAGGTTTCACAGAAATACTTCAATGGCTCGTCATGACTGGGCACTGAACAAGGGGTGGGTGGCTCCTGCTTCAATTTAAACATTTGAGAAGAAGAGACCACTTCATTGAGACTTGCCAGCTGATGGTTTGATGTTGGCCCCCATTTTCTATGTACCAAATCACAATCAGTACAAAGAAACTTACTGCAGTCAGTACAATATCCATTGGAATTCGCTATAGTGCAGTTGTCACAAGTGACATACTCATCATCGGCTACTTTCTTTAATAGATTGTGTATCTCGTTGAGGTTTTTGATCTAAAATGCAACAGGAAAGGCTCCTGCTCCTCCTTCTGGTAACACAACACAATGATGACAAGTAGGGCAAGAGAGGCAGTGGGTCTCATTGATCTTATCCAGTGGTAATCCTTCCAGACAGAATTGATAGAAAGAGTGCAGACAAGGTAAGGTCTTAGGGTTAGTAAAGAGGTTTAGACATCCAGGACAAGTGAGTTGCTCCTCCAGTTTGAAGAAACAAGGAGTAGATGCCATTCCTGTATAACAAGTAAAATTGTCAAAAGTGGACAAAGAACAAAAGAGAGCAATAAAGGTGATGAAAATCTGGCAAAATAAACAACAGAACTCGAATTGAAGGGCAGCTGTGAGAGCCTTGAAATATTCCTGCCCTTGTGAGACTATAGCTCAGGTGAGACAAGTTTTGACAGCTACAATAATAATGAAACCATCGCCTTCACCACAGCCATTAGAGGGAATGCTGACCTTAGAGCTACATGGACATGTACATGTAGGATTTTTACAGTGGTCATAGGCTCAAAGGCACACTGCCTTAAAAATTTGCTTTATTCATCAATTATCAATTTTAATTGGTAATAAAGAAGTCAGCCTGTAACAAGAGTACTCTATACATGTAAAACAAATGGCTAGTATATGTGTAATTAAGATTACTGTTGTTGATAATAATGATAAGAGATTTACATGGAGATAATGCTAATGTGACAGTTTTAGTGCATTATAAGTCTGCTTGCCTCAACAAGGATATCAGGTCAACCTACAATCATGTGCTAATCAAGCACCACATAATGAAGATCAAAGTTTAAATGAAACTGATATATTTTGGGTTCCAACAAAGCATGCATGCTTCATGAGCTGACAAGCACTACAATAGCATATGGAGCAACTTTAAAAATTTATAAAAATTCAATTTGGATCAGAATAAACTCAACTTTCTACAAGACGTAAGAACATGTACATGTATATCAAAAAATACAATTGAAGAATTTCCCTTTTCAATTTTGGAGAAATCTGGCCTGAGACCCTGTACTGTAGCACATAGACTTTTGCCCAATTTTGGAGGAACTTTTAAAAATGATAAAAATTTAATTTTGGTCGGAACCATAATGAACCAGTTATTACATGTACATGCACATGCAATAATTAAATTAACTGATTATCATTACCTAACTGTACCATAATATCAGGACCTGTACAATTATTATATAGGTAAATAAATTCATGAGTGAAGACTACATAATAATCCATTATTTTCTTACAAGGCAGTACTTTTGATGCTATCAAAGGTATGATCAAGTGTCCTTAACTTGTTGAATAGCTTCCTCTCATCTAACGCACTAAACAACCTAAATATAATATTAACACTGATATAAACAATATAATATTAACATTAATGTATCAGCACTGATATTATTAACACCAAAATATTAACAATGATATTAAATTAACATCAATACATTAAGACTGATACACTAACACTGATATGTTAACACCAATATTAACACTGATACATTAACACTAATTTTTAACATTGATATACATTAACATTAATACAACAACACTGATACTAACATACATGTACAAGAATTAAATTCTTTCATAGCTATTTTTGATGAAAAATTTGGCCAAGTACTAAAGGCTAGATGGTTATTGGTTCAATTTTTGAGCAACTTAAAAATTCATAATTTTGATCGAAATCATGTGAAATTTATACAAGATAAATATCAAAAAATTATAAAAATATTTGGTCAATAGTACAGGGTGTTTTGCCCTTGAGCAACGTTAAAAATTCATTAAAAAATCCAAATTTGATTGGAATTAGCTCAAAGTTGATACACAACATAAGGACAGGCATGTATCAAAAAAATTATAAAAATGAAAAATCTTACCTAGTCACTTTGAAAAAAATTGGCCAAAGACCAAAGGCTATAGCCTTTGGTTGTTGGCTTAGTTTTTGAGCAACTTTGAAAAATCATAAAAAAATTTAAATTTGATCAGAATCAGCTCAAGTTTTCTACAAATGTATCAAAAAATATTAAAATGGAAAATTCTCTCCTTTTGATTTTTTGTCAAAATACTCAGTACTACATATAGAATAGTAGAGGGTCTTACAATCTACTGACAAAAAGCTACATCAGCACTGTGCTAAAATCCTGTGGGGAAACCCTAGTGTCATCCTCTGTTTTTCATTTTCATGGTAAAATATCTTCATGAGTTTACATTGCAACAAATTTCATAAGTACAATATACATCCACAAATACGCAGCAGTTATTACTACTAAGGAAATTATTTAATTGATGGACTACATGATATGCTTGCATGTACACATGTACAAAGTGTAAAGGAATTTATCAGAATAAAAGGCTAATTACTACACTATTTTACAAATTTACAATTCTTAATACATCAATACATGTACATTGTACATGCATTTCTCATTTTTATACGATACTATCTGAGATACATTTGTACATTAGTCTTGTTTATTTCATCATAATTGCATATGTACAATAATTGTATATACATGTACAACAGAGCATGCAGTCACATAGTAGATTAAACAAAACTATAAGTCTGGGCTTAAATAAGCCTCCCACTGTTTTTGATGTGACACCTACAATGTACATGTACATGTATGTCTCCAATTTAAAAAAAAATCATAACTATACATTAAATTTTAGCAATCACATACATGTACACTGTGTATGCATCAATATTTCAGAATTGTTATTTTGTACTTACATAATGCCAATTGTTATTGTTTCTCTTGTCACTTTATAATAACAAAGCCATTAGTCCAGGATCAGAGAGCAACAACCCTGATATTAGGATACAGGCCCCTTTCATTATAATACTGTATACTTTATAACACGACGTTTATGAATCAATGGCGTAAGCTGCAAAAAACAAAGAAAGAGTACAAGTGAGTCAAAGGTGTAGGTTGGACTGTAGTGCATATTTAGGTAATGTGGCAATAGATTTAATTTTGTTTGGTCATTTAGCAGCTCCTATTACATAAGTACATATGTCCTAAGTCTAATTAGCATGTCAGTTGCATGCATAGTTCCCAAAGTTATCTATACCTCCTGTGAATACAACTACAGTAATTCCAATTTAATTCATAGTTTTTACCCACCCACATATCTCCCAGATCACATCACACATTGCGGCTCCCCTTACCCTGGCCTCCTGCAGTTTCCTCATTCATTGTTATTTCTTTAAGGCTCAAACTTTAGATAAGACTAGACTTTCTCATAGATAGACATCATCAGTGATCTAAATAAAAACATAGATATTATAAATCATTGATTTAATCATTACTCTAATATCTATGATTTTATTGATTTAATTATCAAATGATTGACCACACCTTTTTAGTGCAGTCGATCGAGTCACTGCAGTGCGCAACTCGCATCTCTCAGCTGACAAGAGAAGAAGCCTAAAGTTATGGATGGTGATGGGCCTGATGGCGAGTCCTTTGGTCAAAGGAGGCCTCCTTTGTATGAGATGATTAAGAATATATTGAGGGAGTACCCTAGTGGACAAATATTTAAAGTGAGGAATAAGTTAGTCTACATGTAGGAATATATTATGGGATATGTGGAAGATTTCATGCACTCATGCTAGGATGACATTTATAGCTGTGTAAAGAGTCCAAATCGTAGAAACTTTAGTTTTTATGTTTAAACGTTATGATTGATGAAGTTTATTTCCTTTGCTTGCTTTCTTTACCATTAGACCACAAAGTGCACTGTCATCCCATGCCGCCTTTATTAATCAATTCAATGAAGGTTGGGCTACACGCTATAATTTATTGGGGTAATTCCCTGACTTAGTGCTTACTTGTAAAGCTAAACCACAATCCAGCCTTCGCTCTTACATGTACTGTAGTTTTACTGATGTAGCTCACAGTGGGGTTTCCCACTAGATTATTGTTAAACCTTTGTCTAAGACCCTGTACTGTATGTAGCATAGGGACCGGTATTTCACCAAAATTGGTTGGGTGAAAATTTTTTATTTTTATAATTTTTCCTGTTAGATATACATGTACTTATGTTGCGTAGAAAGTTTGAACTGATTCTGATTAAATCTGGATTTTTTATGAATTTTTAAAGTTGCTCAAAAATCAGGCCAAAGTCCCTGTACTATAGTACAGGGGTTTTGGCCGAATTTTGCCAAAAATGGCTGCATGAGATTTCTTCACTTCTATAATTTTTTCTGATACATATACATGTACTTATGTTACATAGAAAGTTTGAGCTGATTCCGATCAAAATTGGATTTTTTAATGAATTTTTAAAGTTGCTCAAAAATTGGATGAAAGTCCCTGTACTATAGTACAGGGACTTTGGCCAAAATTTGCCAAAAATGGCTATGTGAGATTTCTCCACTTCTATGATTTTTTCTAATACATCTACATTTACTTACCGGTATGTTTCATAGAAATTTTAAACTGATTCCGATCAAAATTGGATTTTTTATTGAATTTTTAAAGTTGCTCAAAAATACAGGGATTTTGGCCAAATTTTGCCAAAAATGGCCATGTGAGAATTTTAATAATTTTTTTCTGATGCATGTACATGTTCTTTATGCTAAAGGTGTTCCAAAAGCTGACTACAATACATGTAATTCTTGTCAACTTATGAAGCATGCTTTTTAGCTCATTTAGCATGCTTTGTGAGAAACCCTGGTAAGTAGAACAGTCACACACACTATTGTTACAGTCCCAACTTATTTATGTTTCATATTCATATGCCTCTCATTTTGTTTCTGCTGTAATAATAATAATAATATTAATAATAATAATGAGATAATAAATTGATGAGCATGAAAAATGTGGCTTACAATAATTATAACACTTGTTTAAATCAAATGTTCCTATTGTTTGTGAATACCACCAGGAATTACCCTTTGTGTTGTTATTATACATTTTTACTAGCCTTGCCACTTCTGGCTACATGTGGGCAAGGTTTTTTTATGGGTATGCTCTGAATGATTCTCCTGTAATTGTGATATGTAATAGGGATTTTTGATTCTCTTCTTTAGGAGATAATACAAAATGCTGACGATGCTCGGGCAACTGAGGTCAAATTCTATTTGGATTGTCGGGAACTACAAACACTCCCACCTTCACTTATAGCAGCTGATAGTAGTGCTAAGCAGCAGCTGCTACAACAGTTCACTGGACCTGCTTTGATTTCCTATAACAATGCTCCTTTCAGGAAAGAAGACTGGGAGAGTATACAGAGTCTTCAGCAGAGTGGTAAAGCCAAGAATCCACACAAAGTTGGAAAGTTTGGAATTGGATTTAATTCTGTTTATCATATTACTGGTAAGACAGAGAAGTTATTCATTCTGCTAATATTACACCTACTGGGAATTTTACTAATGATATTCATGATTATTTTTAATGTGTAATGATATTCATAGTTTGTGTTTATGTGAATCATGAGTTCATTTTTATTTTTAGACCTACCAGTTATCCTGAGTCAAAACTATTGTGGATTCTTGGAGCCACAGGAAAGAGTGTGGAAGGGAGAATCAGGTAAAGGATTTTACTTAGAAAAGTTAACAAATAAATATCAAGAAGCACTGGAACCCTTTGATGGTCTTTGCGGTTTTTCAAAGCATAACCCGAGCTACCAGGAAAAGACCTTGTTCAGGTTTCCTTTGCGTAACATAGAATCAAATCTTTCCAGTGACATGTACACCATTGATAAGCTTCATAGCCTGCTTCACACATTAAAAGAAGAAGCCCAGTATTTATTAGTTTTCCTAAGATCAGTTTGCTCAATTGAAATATGTAAAATCACTGAGAGCAATGAGACAGTATCGTTATTTAAAGTCAGTGTGAGTCAGAGAGATTATGAGTCGCGATTATCTCAACAGAAACAGTTAATCAGTCGCATTGAATCAACATTTACTGGTCAATCACAGTATAGCGTACGTGATATCATCAAAGATGTATCACGTTTTAATATTGAGAAAATTGATCATGGTACAGTCAGTAATTACGACTGGCTAGTTGTTAATCAGATTGGTAGCAATGACAATGATGTTATGCAATTGGCAGAGAAGCAGCATATTCTTCCTTGGGTTGGCACAGCTATTGATTTAAAGGATCCTACATGTATTGCAAACGGACGTATTTTCTGTGTGCTGCCTCTACCTGTTGAAGATCAGGCACCTTTTCATGTTCACGTTAATGGAACATTTGCTATTAGTAGTAACCGCCGCTCTCTGAAATGGGAAGCACAAGAAAGGAAAGGAGATGAAGAGGGAACTTGGAACAAGTATTTAGTGGAGAAATGTCTTCCTTCGTGTTACTTCAAGTTAGTTTCTGAGCTGATGGAGTTGCTGATTGATCCTAGCACAGTGTACAGTTGTTGGCCTGACATCATAAGAGTCAATGGTACCCCATGGTCTGGCGTATTGGGTCCATTTTACCAGTTACTAGTAAGCAATAGTAAGGCTGTACATACTTTGTCTGCAGGAGGAAGATGGATTAGTGTTAGTGATGCAGTTTTTATAATTGATGAAGTACCTCCAGCAGTCAATGATGCTATGATTAAATGTAATGTCAATTTAGTTAAAATTAATGATAGTTGTAGTGAAGCGTTAAAGAAATACTACAGTCTCAAAGCAC